TAAAACTATGGTAGACCCACCTTGCAGGGTTGTAGACCTTGTGTCTAAAATGTTACAAACACATTACAGGTGCTCAACAGTGTTCAACCACTGGGATGGTGTCTGGCACTGGGTGCAGTTTGATGCGTGCAAGGAAAATGGATGAGTTCTATCTAGCACAAGCCAGAAAGTGACAGAAGGCAACCATTCTAGTTGAGATCTTCCACCTCTCTGGTAGGCGACAAAATCACCACTTTCTGGGTGCTTTTAAAGCCACATACTTGTGGAAATAATTCCAGAATTTTTTAATCAGAAAGAATATCCAGGCATGCAGATGTTTTACCAAGATGTTGAGTGGTTCCAATGTGCTACCAAGGACAAATGAACCACAGATTCTAATCTTGGTAGAGGGATCCATTAAGAACTCTCTTCTTTCCTCCATTCACTGGAGATTCTCAAACTTCAATGGGGACCAAAATCCCCTGGAAAACTCATTCAAATGGATTGCTGGGTTCCACCCCAGAGTTTCTGATTTGGCAGCAGGATGTGGCCTGAAAATCTGCATGTCTTACAAGGTTCCCCAGAGATGCTGCTGCTACTGCCTGGGGCAATTTGAAAACCACTGTGCCACATCCAGGGCTCTCAACCCTAGCATATTTTAACTACCAGAGTGTTTTTAAATACCCATGCCTGGACCCTAGATAATTTGATTGACTGATTAATTGATTGATTTTTATAATTGGATATAAGTAGTCTAGGGAAAGACCTGAGCTCCTCATAATTGTAATGCATTTTCATCAAGAACTTCTACTTTCTTTAAACGAACTCTGCTCTAACTCCAAAGTATGCTCTGGGATAAGCAACACCCCAACTGAGACTATTGGAACCAGAATCTTCACTGTAGAAAGCTCCTCACAAACTAGAGCACAGCCTAGGTCTCAGCCTAAATGTAATTTCCCCAGAGAAGGGTTTTTCTATCATCGTTTGTGAGCTAGATCTCTGGTTGGAGAGAGAAACACAAAGAATACATCACTCACTACTTCTCAAATAGCAAGGATTTTGTGGATTTTGCACAATCTGTAGAAGAGAAAGTCTTCCACTGAAATCAACAGACTGCCCTTTAAGTATAGACTCCAAATGTAAAAATGTAACAGTAAGTTGGTCCCTGCGTGCCACAGTGTGGAACCCTCAGCAGTGAATTTCCAGAAGTTAGCAGAAGAGGATTCTAGACCTGAACAGACTTGACCTTATGTTTAACCTCATCCTAGACAGGGGTTGCCACTAGTTCTTATGCGTGTGGTGTATACTTACTATTACGTATGTATTTTACAGTTTATTCCAAAATGAAGGCTCAATCATTCACCCCCTCTATGGATTGTAAAATATCAGGGCCAGGAGGACCTAAACTATCTAACATAATCAAGATTCCAGGGCCAGGGATTTAGCTCAATAGTTTTGCCGCCTGCTGTGCAAGCTCAAGGACTCGAGTTCGATCCTCAGTACCAAAAAATAAAATAAAATTTTAAAAAAGATTCCAGACTCTGAGCACAAAAGCCAAACAGTATCATATTGGCAAAAAAATAAGATGGATTTATATCAAGTATTACCAAGGCCATGGGGAATAAGCCTCTCATATTCGGTTGGTGAAAGTATTAAGTCAGGTAGAATTTTTGGAAGGCAATTTGGAAAAATCCCTCAGAATTTTAAACATGCATATGTTATGACCTGTAGTCCCACAGCTAGTAACATAGCCTGCAGAAATATTAGACAATGTGTGTAAAATCACATATCCAAGAATTTACTTTGCAGCATTTTCTGATTCTTAAAAATAGGAATAAGGGCTGGGGATTTAGTTCAGTGGCACCGCGCCTGCCTTGCAAGCGCAAGGTCCTGAGTTCAATCCCCTGTACCAAAAAAAGAAAAAAGATATAGATACATTAAAAAGGAGTACATAAATTCCTATAATTTAGAGGTCTACTTATCTATTTAAAGAATGAGGGCCGGGGATTTAGCTCAGTGTGTTTTGCTGCCTGCTGTGCAAGGGCAAGGGCCCGAGCTCAATCCCCGGTACCAAAAAAAAAAAAAAAGAATGAGAACTATAAATGTTTGCACACATGTGTATGTAGTATAATTCTACTTCTGTTTTTTAAAAATTCTACATGCATATACGTAAATATATTTATGAAGAAGCATAAAAATCTACAAATATACCTACCAATTTGCACTTTCAGGAAGTGAGACTATATTGGGGAACTTCAGTTTCATTTTTTCTGCATACCTTCCCATAATTTTTTAAATTTGTTTTAACAACCATATATTACTTTTATTGTTTTAAAAATATCTCAAACAGATAAAAATTACATCTTAAGAAAATTTTTCTCTGAGTGTGTTTCCTTACATCCATCCATTTAGTTATGTGTTTCAGGCTCATTAATTAGAAATAGCACAATGTAGTGTAATTGATTAGCTTTGGGCTTTCTTAGATAAAACCTCACCAATCTGGATGCCTTGAAATTAAATCCAGATAATCCTGGTTGGCTTTTGAGATTCCCAAAGAGTTCTTATTTTCAATTTAGTAGCAAATCCTGGAAACTTCATTTGAGTCTTTTAGCACCTGCTCTTTAACAGTGTCTCTCTCTCTCTCTCTTTCTCTCTTTTTACTCATTTTTTTGTTTGATGGTTTATTTATTGTGGCACTGAGCATTGAACTCAGGGTCTCCACACTGAGCTACATCCCCAGCCCTTTTTTATATTTTATTTTGAGACAGAGTCTCCCTAATTTGCCTGGGTAGGGCTCCTTCTGCCTTGGCCTCCTGGAGTGCTGGGATTGCAGGTATGCACCACCATAGCTGGCTAATATTATCTGTAAAACCTCAAATTTCTTTTTCTTTCTTTCTTTCTTTCTTTCTTTCTTTCTTTCTTTCTTTTTTTTTAAATTTGAGATGGATTACCCAAACTAGCCTTAAACCCTTGATCCTTCTGCCTCAGCATCCAGAGTAGCTGGGATTACAAGCACAAGCCACTACACCCAGCTCCAAGATTTCTTTGTAATAAACTGCTTGTTAGCCAGGAATGGTGGTATGCCTGCAATCGCAGCATTCTGGTAGGCTGAGGCAGGAGGATCACAAGTTTGAGCCCCACCTGGGCAAATTAGCAAGATTCTACCTCAAAATAAATAAAAAAGGACTGGAGATGTAGCTCAGTGTGAAGACACTGGCTTGAATCCCCAGTAACACAAAAATAAACAAACAAATAGCTACTAAACCAGATCACCCTAATTCAATACCTGATCAATTATCTTTTTTTAAAATGTAAGACCAGATGTTTAATTTAGTTTTGCTAAATTTCATCTTGTAGTTTGCAGTTCAACATTCTACTCCTTGAACATAATTTTGGATCTTTGCTTCTATTGTACTAGATACTCCTGAAAGTTTTCTATGATCTAAAAGTTTAATCACTGTGAAGATCATAAAATTTATAGACAATAGACACAAAGAAATCTTCTACCTAGCTTTTTAGTTGAAAATGAAACCTACTTGAACTTAAGCCAAAAGGAAATTTGTCAGATGGAGACAAGAACCTCATTGACTCCTAGATAAGAAGGACACTAGACCTGAGAGAAGCGAGGGGGAAATAGACAACACTTTCTCTCTTTCTTTCCTCTGCCTCTTTATGCTCCATCTCAATCCTCCCTCTTCTACCTCTCATTCCTCCCAACACTCCCCCACCCTCAATCTCTCCATCCTCCCCCTGGCCCTCACGAGTGTGTGTGTGACCATAGGCCCACCAAATGCGGGCCTTGGTGGAAGCATTAGCCCTCCCCACAGCTAAAACTTTTTACCATGGATTTGTCTTCAGGGCCCAGGCACCTTCCTGACCACCAGTCCTATGTACAGTATTTACAATATTTCTATTGGTTTCCCCTCAAATTTACCTCATATTCAGAGTTCACACCTTTTCTCTGGACTGAAACCAAAGCCCAATTTCAGTTTCCAGGAGGCTGCGGTTTGAGTTAGATGTCTGTCCTAGTCCAGTGAAATGTGGCCAAAGAGCCAAGTCCAGGCAGAACAAGCCAGAACCATCTTCTGTGGTGGGATGTAATTCTCAGAGAATGGGATATGACATTGATAATTACCTGATGAGTTAAAGCCCCAAATTTGTCTACTACAGAAATTGCAATGAACATCAGCTCCACATCTAAGATATGGATTAGGTCCACCCGCATGTGGAATAAGGACAAGACTTCACAGGTAAAAAAGAGTATAATTTAGTGGTTAAGTGTGTTAGCTTTGGAATCAAGCTAGGTGCTTTTTCCTAATTCTACCACAAACTATTTTAATCTAGGGACAGTTACTCATCTCTTTATGCCATTTTCTTACCTATCATGTAGCAAAAATAATAGCTAGTATCATTGGGCAGTTGTAGATATTAAATGAGATTATATATCAGACTACCTAGCTCATGGCAAGCATTCAATAAGGGGCAACTATTGTTATTAATATTATTACATCACCATTAGTATTATTTAGAAGTAAAGTGGTAATAGTGTATAAAAGGCAGTGGGTTTGACGTGATACATTTCAACTATAACCTTATGGAGAGAACCCAAAGAGAATACAGGGACAATATAGAGTCTGTATAGGCTATATTGAACAGTATATAACATGTATATGGTAATAAGATATATAAAATAATAAGTATATAGGATAAAGATATAGAATATATAAAATAATAAAAATATGATTATAACTGGGCTCCTGACTGTGGGGCACTGCCTGTTACATGTCTCTATGCACCTGAAGGGTGGTACAAGGAGACACTAAACGCATGATTCCAGAAATGTCAGCCTTGTCATACTGTGGCATGAGGCAAAAATGCTCTGAAGAAACAGTCCTTCTGTTTAAAATAGAAACTTTGAAGGAAGCCAAGTTAACACATGACAACTGAATATCCAGTTTGGGGGGCGGAGGATAAAGTCCTTTTATTTCTGAAATGAGGAGAATTAACTGGTATCAAAATTCACGTTTCCTTTTTGGTGAAATTCTCCAGCCAAGCTGGGTGCTAACCGAGTAGGCGATTTCACTTCACCGTCACTTCACAAAAGACTTCCAAATCCACTGCGGCAGACACTGAGAAGTAAAATGTTAAGTACATTCTAGCTGAGAGGAGACAGAAGCCTCCACACTCAATCAAAGGTTTGCAATAATAGGATTCATAAAAATTTAAAAAAAAAAAAAAAAAAAGCGGACAGATGGGATTAGAAAATGTTGCAGTGAAGACTGTGGAATGAGATGAGCTCACAGCCCAGAGCCCAGCCTGTCTTTTGTGGACCTACACAATGATCCGAGAGCCAGACTGGATTAGGAAACCTTGCAACTAGGGGTCCAGAGAGGGGCTGCGGCTTCCCAGGCACTTGAGGGGGAGAAGGTTGAAACGATGCATCAGATTTATAGCTGCAGTGATGAAAATATAGAAGTTTTCACCACCGTGATTCCTTCCAAAGGTGAGTACAATTGCCTTACGGCGGCATTTTATGCAGGAGGGTGAGGACCATCACGTGTCACTTTACTAGGGTGTACCCTCAGGTCCTGAGGTCTAATGGGTCCTCTGTTTTGATGATATCTGATTTCTTTTTTTCTGGAAAAAAAGGTACAAGGATAAACATCAATCATTCAGAAACAATCTATCAAGGGGAAAATGAGGGCAGTTGAACACTCCCTGTTCACTCAATTCAATACCGGCAACCCAACAGGCTGAATGACAGTGACAGCAAGTCATTGTTAAGGAAAACAGAAATGAAAACAAAATTCCCAGGGCAGCTAGACCGATTCTCTCATTTCCTCCAGTGATCAAGTGGGATCTAAGACATGAATCAGCTGGCTCCCAAGTATGATTTCTAACTATGCCATGAAATGTGAGAAATTCTCCCAGCAGTGGCCTAAACTCCAACGAGGCAGTTAAATAGTGCCCTGACCCTAGGCTGGTCCCCCCAGAAACCTGGGCTCACCTGACAAACCTGACCTGGTCCCAGCATCAGCAAAAGATGTGATGCCACGGGAACCTTGACTTTATAAGCCTGGGGTCCCCCAGTCTCAGTGTTAGGTCCCAGGGAAGGACTTTGTGAGAGGCTCACCAGATCCAAGTGTCCGGTTACAGGGCAATTTCCTCACCGCTCCAAAGCTGGCCCTCTCTCCGGCTGCCCCTGTGAGACCCTCACCCCCTGTTTTGCTGGCTGAGGTTTAGCCCCTTGGTCTCATTGTCAGACTTGAATGAAGTGGGCCGGGTGTTTGCTGGTGTTGTGACTCTACTCAAACAATTCCTTTCTTCCTTCTGTGTCAACCGCTGACAGGGCCATTGCTCAGGGGGGAAGGGCAAGATTCACCCTGGCCACAAAAAGCCCGCAAAACACAAATAAAGCTTTAGACATCTCCTGCCGGGCGAGAGAGAGAGAGAGAGAGAGAGAGAGAGAGAGAGAGAGAGAGAG